GCCCGGCCCAGGCCCAGGCCCAGGCCCCGCGCAGAGCGGAGAGCCGCGGCGTTCCACCGGGCCCAACTCGCCGGCGCGGCGGGGGCGGGCCCAGGACCTTCGGCAGGTCCTCCGGGAGTCCACCGGGCGGGAGTCCCGGTACCCGGGATCGGGTTGGGCCGGCGCCGATGGCGAGCGCGGCCTGCCCGGGTCCCGGGGATCCGGCCATGTGAAGCAGGCCGGGGCTGGGGGCCCGGCCATGGCCGGGGAACGGCCACCGCTGCGGGGCCCCGGGCCCGGAGAGGTTCCGGGGGAGGGGCCGGGGGGCGCAGGCGGAGGCCCGGGCCGGGGCCGGCCCTCCTCCTACCGGGCCCTCCGCAGCGCCGTGTCCAGCCTGGCGCGTGTGGACGATTTCGACTGCGCAGAGAAGATCGGGGCCGGTTTCTTCTCTGAGGTCTACAAGGTAGGACCCGCAGAGAGGACAGAGGGGCGGGACCGAGCCTTGGACGGGAAGCTAGAACTTAGGGGCCCACAGCCTGGGTTAGAGATCCCACTTGAGCTAGCCACCCAACCTGCCGGGCACACACCGATCCTTTCCTCCTCCAGGTTCGGCACCGACAGTCGGGACAAGTCATGGTGCTGAAGATGAACAAGCTCCCCAGTAACCGGAGCAACACGCTTAGGGAGGTGCAGCTGATGAACCGGCTCCGGCACCCTAACATCCTCAGGTGAACGGCCTAGCCTCTTGCTGGGCAGGAGGGAAAAGGAAAGGTCCCTCAGGAAAGGAGGGAGATGCGGTGGAACCCGGAGCTCTTACAGCTTATATCCTTCTGTCCTCTCCATCGCCTTTCAGGTTCATGGGGGTCTGTGTGCATCAAGGGCAGCTGCACGCGCTTACAGAGGTAAGCATTAAGCATAGGCCAGCAAAGAGGGAAGGCACCACACCTCCAAGTGAAAGTGTCAGTGATCTTGGTGGATCTGCTGGGAAATTAAAAAGAAGCCACCTGCCTGCTCAAGACCTCAGGACCTCCTCCTCCAACTGGAGGCTTCCTGAACGTCCCCTTTGGGCAAACCACTTTTTAGAATCCTCAACTGGAGTTATTCTGTGTATCCCTGGGAACAGTGCTGGCCCATAGAACTTTCTGCCATGACGGAGATATTTTGTATCTGTGTCCAACACAGGAGCCCCTAGCTACACAAGGAGTAGACTAAAGCAAGAGCTGGTGTAACAGAAGAATGTCTGGTTGTATTTAAATGTATTCGATGACATAGCTGCACATAGTCCTACCGTGAGAGACAGGGCAGCCTAATATATAAATGGGAACCTTGAAGCACAGACTCACCCTTCTGACTGTTGTGAGCCTCCTGAGTGTCCACTGTCTTACAAGTGGCAGACACAGAATACAGACTGAAGCTTTGACATTCACTCCCCTTCTTTTTCCCCATGTCCCAGTATATGAATGGGGGCACCCTGGAACAGCTGCTCAGTTCCCCGGAACCCCTCTCCTGGCCGGTCAGGCTCCACCTAGCACTGGACATTGCACAAGGCCTGCGGTACCTGCACGCCAAAGGTGTGTTCCACCGAGACCTCACATCCAAGGTAGGCTGGCCGAGGTGGGTGGGACCATGGAAAGGGTTTGTGACTGTTAACTTATAATTGGCCTGTGGATGTTAGCAGGTGGGTAGCAGATATGTTAGAATGTTGGGGTGCCAAGGTGTTGGAAATTACTACAGAAGGGGGACTGAGGAACTGAGTCTCACCCTGAGCATTGAGTGATGCTTCTATAATAAGGCGCACTAGAGAGCTGGGAGGGCAGGTTGGGGCAGTGCTTAGTGCTGTAGTGACTCGGGGCTTTGGGGTATATACTGGAAGACCAGAGGGCAGGGGACGGGTGTGTGAGGATGCTTGTGTGTGTGTGTGTGTCAGAACTGTCTGGTCCGAAGGGAAGACCGGGGCTTCACAGCTGTGGTGGGTGACTTCGGACTGGCTGAAAAGATTCCTGTGTATAGGTAAGGTGAATGCTCTTCTTACCCCAAGCCTCCCAGGGGTGCCCTATACATGAATGAAACCCCCAGTGGTATTTTCTGTGGGTGGAGAGGAGGCTTATCTCATCCCCTTTAGTTTGGGGGAGATGTCTGGACTGGAGATTCTGACCAGCCTGCCTCTGCAGGGAAGGCTCAAGGAAGGAGCCACTGGCTGTGGTGGGCTCCCCGTACTGGATGGCTCCAGAGGTGTTGCGGGGAGAGCTGTATGATGAGAAGGTAAGAGACCTTGAGATAGAGCCCCCTCCGACAACCCTGCTATATATTTGGGAACCCCCAGCCTTCTCCCTTACCCCTCACTGCCACCCTTCCAAGACAAGATAACTAACTGCAGACTCCTCCCCCTTGGCATGGTCCACCTACCTCCAGGCCGATGTCTTCGCCTTTGGGATTGTCCTCTGTGAGCTCATCGCCCGAGTGCCTGCAGACCCTGACTACCTACCCCGAACTGAGGTGACGTAACCTCCACTGTGGGTGCCCCAACCAAGGAGGGCTCTGTGGAGCTTGATCCTCACAGTGGGCACAGGAGAGCCCACCGATGGCTAACTTGGCAGCCCCTCCTCTGTCCCACAGGACTTTGGCCTGGATGTGCCTGCTTTTCAAACTCTGGTGGGAAATGACTGTCCGCTCCCTTTCCTGCTTCTGGCCATCCACTGCTGCAGCGTAAGTGCACCCCTTCCCTGACCCCTATACGTGAGTTGTCTTCTAAGTCTGGGGAGATAATGGAGGAAACTCACTGTCTTTGTGAGCCCTGAGCGAAGCTGCCCCATCTTGATCCATCAGATGGAACCCAGCACCCGTGCTCCTTTTACTGAGATTACCCAGCACCTGGAACAGATCCTGGAGCAGCTGCCTGAGCCCACACCCCTCGCCAAGACGCCCCTTGCCAAGGCTCCCTTGACATACAATCAGGGTAAGTGAGCATGACCTTGACCCAGCAGAAGTCCTTCTCTTCTCCTGAGAATCAGTTATCTGGAGGAGGCTAATTGGATCTCTTGAGTTAAAAAGGTGGGAAGTCAGGTGGGATGGAGAGGCATCTCACAGGCGGTGGGTTTCTATTGCTAGAGCCCAAGGAAGCAGAGGTAGGAAAGAAAAGGTAGGTAGAAGGTAGCTGGGGGGCTGCTGAGGTGGCTCAGTGGGTTCAAGCATTTGCATAAGGACCCGAGTTCCATCCTGAGGATCTACATCAGGGAAGCAGAAAACTGACTCCTGAAGGTTGTCCTCCGACCCCTGACCTCCACTGTCAACTTCAGTGTCCTGTGGTTCACACAGGCATTCATACAGACACATGTCTACCTTTTTTTTTTTAAGTAAACAAGGTAACTAGAAATAACAACTGTCCCTTTGACAGCACCTGTCGGCTCCCTTTCTTAAGCCCTTGTCCCACCACCTTCCTGGAGAATCGGCCTCAGCTCAGAGCAGATGCTGAGAACAGTGATCTCACTCCTCTCTCTCTGCAGGGTCTGTTCCAAGAGGAGGTCCCTCCGCCACGCTTCCCAGGCCAGACCCCCGGCTCTCCCGAAGCCGGTCAGACCTCTTCCTGCCACCTTCACCAGAATCACCCCCCAGCTGGGGGGACAATCTAACCCGAGTCAACCCCTTCTCACTGCGGGAAGACCTCAGGGGTGGCAAGATCAAGCTCCTGGACACACCCTGCAAGCCGGCCACTCCACTGCCCCTGGTGCCACCATCACCACTGACCTCGACCCAGCTGCCCTTGGTGACCACTCCAGACACCCTGGTCCAGCCTGAGACCCCTGTCCGCCGCTGTCGCTCACTACCTTCATCCCCTGAGCTCCCCCGACGGATGGAGACTGCACTGCCAGGTCCTGGCCCTTCCCCTGTGGGCCCCCCGACTGAGGAGAGGATGGACTGTGAGGGCAGCAGCCCTGAGTCAGAGCCCCCGGGGCCAGCTCCCCCGGGGCCAGCTCCCCAGCTGCCTCTGGCTGTGGCCACTGACAACTTCATCAGTACTTGTTCCTCAGCCTCCCAGCCCTGGTCTCCGAGATCAGGCCCTTCCCTCAATAATAACCCCCCTGCTGTGGTGGTGAACTCCCCACAAGGCTGGGCTCGGGAGCCCTGGAACCGGGCACAGCACAGCCTTCCCCGGGCAGCAGCCCTGGAGCGGACAGAACCCTCACCGCCCCCGGCAGCTCCCCGGGAGCAGGAGGAGGGGCTGCCCTGCCCTGGCTGCTGCCTTAGCCCCTTCAGCTTCGGCTTCCTATCCATGTGCCCCCGCCCTACCCCAGCTGTTGCCCGCTACCGCAACTTGAACTGTGAGGCGGGCAGTCTTCTCTGCCACCGAGGGCATCACGCCAAGCCACCCACACCCAGCCTGCAGCTGCCTGGGGCACGCTCTTAGCAGTGAGGCCTGTGATCTCAGGCTTCCAGCCTTGGCCTTCAGGATACCCTGTAAGGACAGAGCACACTTGCTAGACAATGCCAGCCCCAGATGGGCTGCCTGGCTCTTCTCCCCGTATAGGGGAGCCTCAGCATGGTCTCAGTGGACAGCGCACTTCCTATCCGACCCCTGGGTTCACTATCCCATTGGGATCACCGAACTAGACACAGCATTGCTGACACAAGACTAACACGTGCAAATTATTTAAAAATATTTCAATAAAACTGCCTGGCTGGCTCCGGGCCATCCATCCACTCAGCGGAGCGCCCTCCCCTGACCCATCTCTAGTTTGGGAAGTTGTTAAGGAAGGTCAAAGTCTTTTTCTGGAGGCTTCTTTACTCTTCCCAAGAATAGTCAGTTTCTGGAGCAGCTTTCAAGCAAGCAGCAGGTCGCCAGACCAGAATCAGCCCTTAGCTGGGCACGCCCAAGAGTGAGGGAGTGCTGGAGGAATAGCAGTCTTAAGAACTGGCAGGCCATAGGTTAAGGATGTAGATCACAAGGTCTTGTTCAAGTGTCTGGAAAAATAAAGCATCAGTGAGCTCCATTGACTGTCATTAGCCCTCATCCTGTGTTCTCCCAGCTCCTCTCCTGTTCCCGGCCTTATCTGTCCCCATCCCCTGCCTGGCCTGGCCCTATGTAAGCAGAGTGAGACACTGAAGGGGGTGGATGTGGCACATGAGGGAACAAGTTTTCCCTCTGTCCTCTGGACCTCTGTCCACACACCCATCCACACACCCGTGCCTAATCTCCCTCATGCTTACCCATTTCAGTTCAGATGGATCTCATCAGGAAACCTGAAGGCCTCCATCTCACAAATGCAGGGGTGAGGCTCTGTACACTTGGAATATTTTTCCCACCATGACTTGTAATAGGTTTTTAGCACGTCACAATGTGAGCTTTGAGAAGATTCATAACTGGTGAAGAGTTGGGATACACTTTAGACCCCTGAAAGCCCCTCCATTCCCCTCGTTCTTTCAAATCCTAGTCCAAATCCTATCTCCTGCTAGGGCCGCATGGTTCAGGAACAGGTTTCTGACCTTCAGCTCCCACGGGCCTTAAGACCACAGAGGACGACTGCATGTCAGGAGCTGGGCGCAATGGTGCGCACCTTTACTCCCAGCACCCAGGAGACAGACCCCAAACTCCATGGAACATGAAGTAGCCACCCTGCTTTGGGATCCCGGAGCAAAACTGCAGCTACTCTGCACTCTCCTGAGACAGTTCTAGTGCCCCAGTTGGCGTGGACTAAGCACATGTCTCAGTTTGGGCAGCCTGTCAAGGCTTAGGTCAGCGCCAGCACTCCTCTGGCTGAGAAGCCTTGCTGAAATCTCTCAAGCTAATTTGTTTTTAGAGATGTGGGAAGGGGTCTTCCTATGCAGCCCACACTGGCCTTAACTCACATCCTTCCTCAGCCTCCTGGGTGCTAGGACTACAGGAATATGCCATTGTAATTTTAAGTACGCACTACAGACCTCCAGGCACTATGGATGTAATACAGGGTAAGACTGGAGCTCAGTGAGATGGCTTAGCAGGTAGAGACACTACAGCCTGGGTACAGGCCCTGAGACCCACACTGTAGAGAACTGACTCCCACAAGATGTCCTCTGTCTGCCACGTGGTATCCCTTCCCGAACACATTTTTAATGTCTTAAACAGTTGTTAATCAAGTAGAAGAGACAAGAAATCACAATACTGATTTGTGGAGCAGTTTTGGGAGCAGGGCTTAAGTAATATCCCTACGAGAGACTGCGTTGACAATACCTCCAGAAACTTTGTGAACCTGCAGTATGGCTCATCTGCTGGATCCAATATGACTTTGAACCATCTAGCATCTCCTTTAAGCCTCTGGGCAGAGGAACCTGAGGGGTCGTCAGAGAGATACGTGAAGAACAATGAGAATATGGAGTAAAATGGGGACGCCCTAGGGGCCTATGAGTTTTACTCAGCTAGAGGCCACGCCCATTTACTACATGAATTAATTGCTCCCGCATTCTTCCAGTGCTGCAGACCCGGCTCACTCTCCATCTCACCTCCAAGCAAGGGAAGAATTTGAAGTGGAGTCAGCTTGTGAACTTCCAGTCTCAGATAGAGTGTCAGCAGGTTGGCACTCTGCCTGAGAGGAGCCAAAAAAACAATTAAGCAGTCAAGGGGCAGGCCAGCAAGCCAAGACACAGACGACGTGGAGATGGCTCAGACACTTCAGCTCTCACCAATGCTAAGCATGGGAGCCATGGGATAACACAGGACTGAGAAGATGCCAGAGCTATTGCCACACTTACTGGCTAACAGTGTGACTTCTGTTCTGTCTTGGGGAAGCAATGCAAACCATGGCATGTGTGCAGATGTGCACTGCCATTCCTGACTTGACACACACACCCCTTTACATACTTCCACCTCAAAATGTAGATAAGGCCATGCTCACTTGATACTTAGAAGGTTCGATGAGTGCAGCCAGTTTGGAGGACAGAGATTCACAGTATTTTTGGCTCTCCTCCCGACTTCTGAGGGTATGTGAGATGTAAAAACACCTTTTCTGTTGCTGAATCCATCCACACGGACAGCAGGTGTCTACAAAGCAGAAAGAATATGAGAGCCACAACCCTTGGGATAAAGTGACCAACTGGCCAGCTGGTTGACAATAGTCCCTGAGGTCTACTCTCAATGTCCCCATCAGCTTCAGTCCTTGATCTTTGCAGTCTTTTTGCCTCTTGTGGAAACATTTTACTTCTTAACAATATGGGAAGGTTTTGCTAGTGGAGTTCATATTACTGTCCCTGAAAGAACAAAATCTGCCCTGACCCTAGCAACCTTGCCTAGCTCCCACGCTGATCAATGGGCTTCTCATTCACTCATTCATTCACTCATTCATTCATCCCATTTAATCCCTAACATATTTCCACTGCACATTCAGAGCTTTGCCACACTCCTCCAGGCCATGGCCACATCTCTCTCCACAACTCCATAAGCAGACAAATGGCTCCTGGTTTTCTAAAATTATGAATATTCTCCATTTCCATATCACTACTTAAAAATGCTTATCTCTGTTCTTTTCCAGATTACCTTTAAGAAATGAAATCCGTCTTTAACACCCCACACCCCACTCTGCTCTTGATCACAATCACCTCTTGTCAGACCTAGCACCCCACTTAGAAATCATTCCCTGTCCACCGCCTGACACTCACACTCTCTCTGTATGTGTGTGTATTTGTGTCTGTCTGTCTGTCTGTCTCTGTCTCCCTGTCTCTGTTTCTCTGTCCCTCTCTGTCTCTATCTCCCTGTCTCTCTCTTACCTACATTTTCCCCTCTCTCAATCTCTCTCTCTCTCTCTCTCTCTCTCTCTCTCTCTCTCTCTC